ACCTGTGTTGTGAAGCAGTGCATACAGTAAGGAAGCTTTTCTTCATGACTAACACAAATCTCCTTTGCTGACATTTAAGTCCCTAACCTCCTTTCCTAGCTAGACTAGAAGGCACACCACAAAAATCCCCCTCCTCTTCAGCACAACATGTTTCTGATTTACCTCTTTGTCCCTCTATTGTTTCCCCTAAAAAAGACAAACTCAGTTCTTCTAGACTTTGCTCATAAGCCACATTTCCCCACTGATGTTCCCTGCAGAGCACAGGACTCACATCACATCACTTCCAGAGTGATGAGTTTTCAGCAAAAGAGGCAGTGATGAGGGCAAGAACCCATTCAGGCTTCCCTCTGCCCCTTTCCCTTACAGGTTAGGGCAAGGCAGGCTGAGAGACAATCAAGGTTAGTAGCTGAGTGCCAACCCACTAGCCATGGCCATTTCTCTTCCTTGTCCCCTACTACAGCCCACCATGAGGATAAGCTTTTGCTGTGAACTCACTGACTGGGCACAGCTGGCAGTGAAACACATCCAGCAAAAGGTTGGTGGCTAGCAGGAAGTCTTTCTGGTTTTAATTGGTGATTACTCCAATTGAGTGAAACACAGATAACCCACCTTTTTTAGCTCTTATGTTTATCTAGCTGTATTTACCTCACCTCCTGCCTTCTTTGTCCAAAATTGGAGCAGGCCTTACACAGTCCAATATTTCACTATACACTGGAAACCTTGAAAGCAGCAGAGCATAACTGGGGCATGGAGCCAATGTGGCCAGAGCCCAGTGACATTAAGAGTCCCAATGCCCATCTGCAAGGCAGGAAAAAAGGGATAGTTGGATATTCTTGAGGATCTAACATTCACCATCACCTATGGTGCACAGAAGATGTACTTGAAGGCATTTTCTCCCCCATAAACACTTTGTCAAGAGACAGGCAGTCTAGTCTGATGTTTTCCAGAGCTCTGTAAGGATTTCTTAAGTTCCAGTTTTACTGCTTGGACCAGCTCTACTTCTAGTGTGGAGAAAATATCTGTAAAATGGAGCTGGTCTTTAAAACATCAGCACAGTGCTTTGAGACATGGAGCTGAACAACATCTAGTCTTGCTACTCATATATCACAGGAGAACCAGAGGGGGACAGGAGATAGCATAAAGCCTTTAAAACATATGGAAAACATTATCTAAATAGCAAAAATATGACATAAAACTACATACACATGCTTACAGCTCATATTTGAACTCTCCACAGCCCTTGCTAGATAAGTAGGGATAATGATTTTTTTATTCATAGTTCACTGAAAGGGAGTCCCACTCATATTTTCACACGCCCCAGCAGCCAGACAGTCTCTCTGCTTTTATTTACGGCTAGAAGTCCTGGACAGAGTCACGGCACAGAGGAAAAAGGAAAAGCAACTGGCAGATCTCAGCTAATGCAAAGTACTGTCTGACATTTTTCAAAGAACAATCAATTGCAAAGGACTTGCTGTTAATCACTGTGAAACAGATACATTTCAGATCCCCACAGAGCATGATACAATGTGAAGCAGCTTCTTAGAGCAGCAGGATTTTTTGTGAAGGGAGTTTGGACAGGCAGTTTTTCCTTTAAGCCTGCATTTCTGACAGCTGCCTAGTACCCTTTTTCACAGGCTTGTCACATTTGTACCAAGATATATAAATGCCTTCTCCTTTTTTCCTTGTTTTTTGCACAATCTTTCACTTTTTTAAGAAAAGAAAGATAGAAGCCATATTTCCTATCATCTATAGATGAAGCCAAAATTTTTCCTGCACAAGGAAATGGCTTCTTGTTATCTGAAGACGACATCTCTATTTTACAGTAAAAGCCTCCATCCTATTTTTTTTCTGTTCTACTTACTCCCTCCTGTCTCAAAGCTGAACATATCCAATAGCTTGCAAAGGAAAGTAATAAGAGAAAGATGGTTTTGCTTTGTTTCCTGGCGACCAACACCACTGAGACCCCAGGTATCATCACACTGGCTAATTCAAGACAGAAACAAGTTCCATTACAGTCAAGCGGCAAGAGAGGATGCAGCAGTAACCTTGGCACAGAAAATCCTTGCCAGAGCTGCCTGCTCTTCATGGTAGAATTCACAGTGATAGAGGAATATGTTTTGATTAAGAGAAATTATGTTCCATGTATGTTTAGTTGGCTTTTGGATTTTCTTTTTTCCCCTCTACTAAGCTTAACCATGTTGTGTCACTTGCATTACCCTCTTTACCTGTAAAAGCCTTAAACAAAACCCCCTTGATGCAGGGCTAATACGAGAGGGCTCACTGTGTCTCCTTTAATAAGTCCCAAGGAAAGCTGGATCTGTCTTCTTTGCATTTAGCTCAAACTGCCTCTGCCTTTCTCCAGAACAATGTACCCCTCAGGGTGAGGAAAAGTCGTTATACCAACAGTATGGCACTAAGTAGAAGAAAGTTCTTTGTAATGGCCCCTACACCCAAAAAAACATCAAAGGGGATGGCAGCCTGTCTTACAGGTCTGGACAACTGTGGGGGCCCAAAAGAAGGAGATCAAGGAGAGGTGATGAGAATTGACTTTCTGGTTCACACTAGAGGTGCCTCTAAATCCATACAGAACACTGCAGACAGGCAGGTGACTCCTTGTTACAGAGGCTCCCTTTGCACATGAAAAGATCTAGTTCCTCCAAGACATTCAGGCACGGGGCCAAGGCAGTGAGGTGCTTCTCGAGGCAACCATATTGCCTTCATGGAAAAACTCCCACCAAAACCATGTTACAGACAGTGCAGAGTTTAAACACTCCCTAAGGAGCCAGAGCCATAGAAATGCAACAGGAAGAGAGCTTCCCATGCCTGCCATTACTGAATTCCAAACAGAGAATTCAAGCCCACAGGGATATGTTGTCTTCTGTCCTGTCAGTCACAGATGTGACAGCTGGGACCTTTAGCGACTGTCAAAGGAGGAAAACCAAGGCACTCCAAATGCCAAGACTGTCAGCAGCATAATTAACATGTCATGTATGACCATGCTCAAAAATGCAGCACCTACTGCACCTCCAACAGACAATGCTGCCCAGCTGGTAAATCCTGCACCTTGCAATAATGTCTAAGTGACTGAAAAAAATAAGAAAAAACACAAACTGTAGAGTTTAGAAAGACAGAAATCAGTTTGTAGCCCACGGAGGAAGGGCTTCAAAGCCATTGCTTCTCCCACTCCTGAGGCATGCCTCTGGAAATTTGTAGCCAGTCGTATTCTTACAGAAGAACATCTGTTTCACATGGCCAGAACATATGAAACAAAAAGGATGGAAGCAAGTTCTGCAGGGAATTCATAAGCCAAGACAGGTTTGGTGATCTCAGCAGATCTGGTGTGCTCCCCACTGACCTGCAAGAACCAGTTTGAGGCAGGTGGCACCAAGCACCAGGCAAAAGGGAAACTTTCTCTCCCCCATCTCTGGAAGCATACTTTGGACAAACTTAAAAATGTGAAGTGACAAGCAACAGAAAGAAAAACCCCATGTTGTGAAAGCCAGCCCATACAGAGAGCATTGCCAATTCTCCCCCTGCACAGATAAAATGGATGTTTGTGGTTAAGTGCAGGACTGTCCCAGTTAAGATAAAATACTTGGGCAACCTAGATGAATGCTCAGGCTGAGAAAAATCTAAGGTTTCATTTGAACAAATGTAGGCCTGTAGCCGTGACCAAAAATGACCAGGCAAGGACAGCACCTGAATCCACTGTTCAAACATACCTGAGCAAGCTCACTATCCCATTGCTTAGAAGTACAGGATTGGTGCCAGCATGGGCTCTTCCACAGCTGATCTCTGACACACAAATCAGGGAAGGCACCAGAAAGGGAAACTCAGAGGGTGAGGTCCAGGTGTTACTGTAAGGAACAATGGACCTGTAAGGACTGGGTAAGACACAAGGAAAGAAGAGAAAAAGCAAGCATGCAAGAAAGGAACAAGAGAACTTCAAAAGTGGTAAGTCTGGTAAAAGAGTAAATTTTTATGGAATGTAACAATTAGCAACAGAGACATACAAAGAAGTTTTATCTATAGACTAGTAGAAAATTTAAAATCATAATAAAATAAAGCCAATCTATTTCTGCATAATAAATATATTGCTTCCCCTCTTCTTTCAGACTGAATTAAAATTATGCAGGTTAAGGGTATCTTACAAACAACAAAGAATCTTAGTTTAGAAAATATTTGTGAAGGAAGTTCTCCTTGCTAGTTTCTATTTCTGAACAAGTGATTCGGAAAAAATCCTCTTCAATGACACTACCGGCTCCACAAAAATAGAGGATGTGCAGTCCAGTTCTTATCTCCACATTACTTTCTTGTCTCACAAACAGAAAAGACCTGACCCTGTGGTCAGCCAATCAGTTCCATTAAAGAGTTTGATCAGGAGTTCCTATATCAGAACAAAGGCAGAAAAAACAAAGCAGAACAAAGAGGTGAAATGGACACCTTGTACTCCTGATGACAGAAAAGGAGTTTCTGAGTCATGCAGAGAGCTCTCAACACCCTGATCAGATGGAGGCAGGATATAGCACTATCTGAACACATGCTCTAAATGCTTTGGAGAGAAAAAGTTATATCCAAACTGCTGCTGTAGGCAGGAAGGTCATGCTGGGATTATAATCAGCTGTGTGAATGAGCACAGAGACATACCACATTTGGCTAGATGATTTTTTTCTTTAAGACTTGCCAGTGGTACAGGGGAAAAGATTGCCCTTATAATGAAAATTATCTCATTTGCAGCTCTGTGATAAATAGTATTTATCATGAATCTTTGATTCCTCATGCTGTTATTGCAGCTCCTCTGCGATGGCATTAATGTACCATTTCTCTCCATGGCTCCTACTTATCTCAAACAGTCTCTGCTACAAACAGGGTTTTTACCCCTGGCCTGTGAAATTTCTTAAATTACCTGATAAGGGCCAGTTTCAGCCACAATCACAGCAGGTCCGGGATTCTGCCGAAATGTTATAAAAAAATGTGGGTCAACTGCATTATACACAGCAGTGAAGATAAGGGTTTTACTGAAACTTCTTTACAGAGGCGTATAAAAGTTGAGCATAGCTTCATCATTCAGTAGAAACACACTCATATCATGCAATCAAAATCATCAAAAGGGATTGTACAGAAAGGAGTGTGTATTTTTAAAAAGTTATCTTTAACTAAGGTCTAGCACAGGACAAAAAACGTGAATATTTAAGTAAGTTAGACAGCAGCACATCTTAAAAAACAACAATAATTAGCACACACTAGCTTATATTTTCAAAGCATTTTACAAAAACATGAATTAATTAAGCCTCACAACATCCTTGTGAGATAGTTAAGCATTATTAGTCCCATTTTAGAGACAGAGAAACAGGCATGAAGAGAGTATAACCTGCTCACCACCACACGTCAAATCCAGGTACAGAATGCCAGATTTTCCATTTTTTGCCATGTGTGGTCAGATCTCTTAAAAGCTTCTGGTCTTTAATTTAAATTGTTTCTTCTCATCCCTTTTAAGACTCCTGTCCTTATTTCAGTCTGTTATGAAAAGGTACTCACCAAGTGCTATTCAAAGAGTCACCGAATAGTTTGGGTTGGAAGGGCCTCTAAAGAACATCCAGTTCCAACATCCCTGTCCTGGAATGGGACACCTTCCACTAGACCAGGTTGTTCATAGCTCCATCCAACCTGGCTCTGAACACTTGCAGGGATGAGGCATCCATAGCTTCTCTGGCCAGCTGTTACAGTGCCTCACACCCTCACAGTAAAGAATTTCTTCCCAATACCTAATTTAAACCTAGCCTCTTCCACTTTAAAGCCATTAACCTCTATCACTACATGCTCTTGTAAAAAGTCATAGGAGAGGTGCTCCAGCCATGTGATAATCTTTGTAGTCCTCCTATGGACTTGCTCTATTATGCTGGGGGCCACAGAGCTGGACACAGTACTCCAGGTGGCCTCACAAGAGCAGAATAGAGGGGATGAATCACCTCCCTTGACCTGCTGGTCATGCCTCTTTTGATGCATCCCCTGATGCAGGTGGCTTTCTGGAAAAGTAATCAACGCATTCCAGGAACCTTCTGAATTGCTTATGGCCTGCTGTGTTGCCTCTCCAACAGATATGAGCTGGCTGAAGTCCCCCAAGAAGACTAAGCCTTGTGAACACAAGGTTGCTCAAATCTACAGAGGGCTTCATCCACTCAGTCTTCCTGGCTGGGTTACCTGTAGCAGATCCCCTCTGTCACCTGTCCCTGCCCTCCCTTTAATCCTGACCTGTAAGTTCTTGATGGACTCCTCCTCCATCCCTAGGCTGAGCTCCATGCACTGCAGATGGAGCTCCATGCACTCCAACCAATCACTGACACAGAAGGTGACATCTCCTCCTTGCCTCCAGGGCCTGTTCTTCCCAAAGGGCCTCCATCCTGCCATTCCAACACTCCAGTCACAGGAGTTATGCCACTCCATCTCTGTAACAGCCCTGCATGCGTGAGTGCACTCGCGACAAACAAGCAGAATTAGGAAAAACATTTCTTATAAACGCTGTGTTACTGGAAGCTGTTTAACCAAAGACTTGGCATGGGTATTTCCATACTGCCAGTGTCACTTCTCATCAGGCACCTGCCACCAGGAATCTTTCTGAGGCCTATCTGCAATGCTGGGACAGCTCAGAATCTGAAAAAAAATAAAGCTTCTTTTCTTCTTCCATACAAGGAATTTCTCTCTGTGGCAAGGGGTCTTCTCTACAAAGAACTCTTATGAATACCATTGCACTGAAAACAAAGAAAGATTTTTATCAAGAAGACCCTCACCGAATCACTAGGTTGAAGAGACCTTCAAGCTCATCACATCCAACCCAGCCCTAACACCTCAATTTTTTTAAACATATCCAGGGATGGTGACTCTACCACCACCCCAGGCAAAGTATTCCAATATTTTATCACCCTTTCTGTAAAAAACATTTTCCTAATACCCAACCTACATTTCCCTTGGCACAGCTTAGGACTGTGACCTCTTGCTCTGTCAGTTGCTGCCTGAAGAAAGAGACCAACCCCCATCAGACTACAATCACCTTTCAGGAAGTTGCAGAGAAGTTGTAAGGTCACCTCTGAGTCTCCTCTTTTCCAGGCTAACCACCCCCAGCTCCCTCAGTCATTCTTCACAGGGCTTGTGTTCCCAGCCCCTCACCAGCCTTGTTCCCTCCTCTGGACACGCTCAAGTGTCACAAGGTCCTTCCCAAACTGAGGGGCCAGAACTGGACACAGCATTCAAGGTGCAGCCTCACCAGTCCTGAGTACAGGGGAAGAATGACATCCCTGCTACTGCCGGCCTCAAGGTAAAGCCAAGGGCACAAATGTATGCCAGAAAAATCTAGAAACTTTTATCTATTGTGCTTTTGTTGCCTTTCTCTGAACTCACTTTATTATGAGAGATGGTCTGGAGGCATCAGACATCCTGGGAGCAAGAAAAAGATTCTTCATAGTCACTTTGAGAAGACAAGTTCCCTTAATATCAATCACTCTTGCCCTGAACTAGTAAGTGACAGACTAGGATTAAACTTCCAAACTACCTGAAGGTTCGAGTCAATGGATTTAATTCTATAAATTGCCAAATTAAACTTTAACTGGCAAATCTGGCAGATCTACTGCTGCCTTTTTGCAAAGCCAGGCCCCAGGTGTTAGTGGAGACATAGAAATAAAAACAGTCTTTCCATCTTCAGTTACACATGTCCATCAGACACTATCCAGAGTCCAGGAAGTTAGTTTCATGACAGCTTGATCTGAAGATCCTCCCCATACTTCTGGATCAACTTCACATGGTTATGGTCCACTGACCATTGCTCTGGGAGGTGTTTGGGCTTCATGCTGTCCAAGAAATGCTGCCTCCAGCGTCTTTCCAGCTGCATGAGAGAGCGCAGGCCTCCTTTTGCACAACACTGCACCACCTTCAGTCCATGTGGCACGTAGCTCTCATTGCAGATCCTGCCAGGACACAAGCACAATTTATTTTCACACAAGCCCGCTGTCAGACTCCAGATCTGTCTCCAGTGAACAGCAAGACACTGAAGATACTTTCAGCTGCAGAGTTTAATTACAGACAAAGCGTAAGCTAATCAAGAGGGAGAGTTTTAAGCTTTGCTTCAATGCCAGACTGTTTTCTGGAACACACTTACACTGTAAAGCTGGTTTCTCTGAACAGAGAAAGTGTTCTTCTTTAGAGCAACACTGAACAAAGCTCTTAAGGTCCATTACAAGCTCCTCAAGAGACTGCAAATTTCTCAAGGCAAGAATTATATGACCCTTCAGAGTGCTGAGCCTGTCACTGAATTCCCTGCCTGGATAGGTTCTGTGTTACAACATCTGCACTTTACAAACAACAGCGAGCATAACAAGGAGAAGATACTCATTTCAAGCAGAGACTAGACACTTATTAAGAAAAGATATTTGGGGAGACTTTGAGAAAGTGAAGAAGAGAAGACTTCCAATCTGACTATCCTTCACTCTTTTCCTGACCTGTCCTTCAGAAGAAGTATAAAAATGTTGGAGGGGAAGATGGACAGCAAGAACAGAAGACTGGTGAGGAGGAAGAGAAAGAGGAAAAGAAACAAAAGCTGCAGTTCAGAGAGCAGTGGTGAATTGAGTGGAGATGGGTATAAACAAAAACAAAACCAGTAAGAAATGCAATATAAACAACCAAAAACCTTACATCCAACCTAGATGGGCTTGCTATACCTGGTTTCCAGACCAGCTGCTGCCTGGAGCATCTCTGGAGTGACAGTGTCAGTGTTATAGAAGTCCTTGATGCCTTGCAGCAGCTCTGCCCTGCGGGGCTCGGGCAGGCTGTCTGCGTTCAGCAGGGCGCGCGCCCCCGAGCGCACTTGCCTGCGCAGAGGGTCCTCCAGGAGACGCACACCTTCCTCGGAGCCGATCGGAGCCCCAAACTCCTGGGCCAGCTGCTGCTTCAGGTGGTTGTCATAGTAATTGGAGATGGCATGGCAGGACGTGCAGAGTAGGAGCACGTCATGTGAGTTGTGGTCCTTCATCTGGATGGGGAAGTGTCTTCTGTATTCATGAGGAACAACATTCTTCCTAGAGAAGACAAAACAGACAGCTCATTGCATTTGTCTGGAGCTGCTGCTCCCCAGTTCCTCCTCTTCCTGCCCCAGAAAGGGTCAGCTAAAACTAAAAGTCCAGGTAAGCAAAGATTACCAGGATGCGTAGTACAGAAAGTGATTATTTTTATTCTTTTCATTTGTAGCTCTCTCGTCAGATTTTCTGCATTTCTCTATTTTCCTTTCAAAAAATTCACCACTATCAATTAAAGATTCATACTGTAAAGAAAAAAATAATTAAGTAATGTGCTATGAGAAGTATACTTCTCAACTAATCAGTAGCAGAAAAAAAGAAAAAGAGAAAAATCTTGTTCTTTATGACCTCATGAGCTTTAGGTTCACCTAAATCTTTCAAAAATAAAGGATTAAGTAGTGGAAGGAATAGTACAGCCCTTTTTGGAAGGGCATGCCACCCACCCAGTGTGTGTCAGCACACTGCTGCCCCTGTCACTCAAACTGCAGCACATACATGTTCCATATGCTTTGGTCTCTCCTAGGATCAATACCTCCTGCCTGTGTAAGAGAAAAGGCTGGTCTCATCAGTGTCTCACACAGCCAAACAACTGCAGAGCACTCAAACAGTATCCCATCCAGGACATGAACAAGCACAATGTTTCAGGTCACCAACCAAGCTTCTGGATGCTAAATTTGATGCAGACCTCAGCCCTGTTTTAGAAGATGCATGTTTCCCCTACCCGCTAAACAACTCACCGGATATAGGATTCTCGCTTGCCACATACAACACAGAGGTTTTCTTTGACTGTCAGATAATAATCAACTTGGGACTCGGGACGTCCTGAAGGCTCAAAACGCAGCTTCACAACAAAAGGGTCTGTGCTAACTAGCTCTAAAAGGATAAAGGCAAAGAGAAAATATTCCAGACAAATTGTATTGGAGAGCTAAAATAACAATGCTACAATGTAAGAGTCATCCTAGTGAATTCCCAACAGTACTTCCAATAAGAAAGGATACCAAAAAAATCATGCTCCATTAGGAAGAAGAGAGAGAGGAGAGAAGAGAGAGAGAGAGGAGAGAGAGGCGCATTTAAAATTCCAACAGGAAAACTGGTATGCCTACCTCCAATCCCCTTGTCCAAATACCACTGAGCCTTCTTGCGATCACAAGTGCACAGGGGCTGTCCATCTGGTGCATGCAGGAAGCAGTTGTCATACAGTGGAGATTTTCTATGAAACAAGGCCAGTATTACAGCAGATATAATAGCATGCAAAAAACCCCAGAGCTTTCTATAGCCCTGAGTGCCTCACTGCAGTTCAGGCAACTTCCTCCGAATCACAGGAGTACCCCCAAACACAAACTTGAGGCTGCTGAGACTCCACAGTCTGCTGCTTAGGGTAACAGTATATCTGAAAATTTATCCAGGGCTCACCAACTGACTCTAAGGTATCTTTGCTCTCCTGCCGTCAACAGAATTGTAACTCTTGAATCCCAGTTTTCAAGAGATGCCATCACTGAAGACAGCATTTTAAAAAAAATTGAAGTAGAAAACAAAAGAGAATTGAAGTCACAAAGGATGATGAGCTAAGAGTAAGCTCAAAGAGAGCATCAACTTACAGCAAGGTAGTTTCAAGAATCAGCTGCCTAAGCCTGGATTTTAATGATTTTTATGAAAACTTTTCTAAAATTTAATGTGAATAGCAATTACTTTATTCACCCAAGAGAAATGGTCCAAAACCACTCCTCCACTGGGAATTTGAACACATGAGTTCAGCACTGGGAACTCGAACAGATGAGTTCAGGAGAGCAACAAAGCTGAGCTGACACCCTCAAACACAGGTCCCAACATTTGGCAGTGACAAGAAGTCCTGTGTGAGCAGTCTCTGGCAGTTTGTGGCAGTGTGTGGAAGGGCTCTGTTTTGCAGAAAACATTTCCTTACTCTGCCAACCTCCTTCAAACAAAACTGAAGCGTGGAGCAGGCTGGGCTCAGAGACGACGTGGGAGGAACTGGCCAGACATGGCACAATACACTGCAGAAAAGTTTCCTTTCCTCTCTGCAGTGAGATTGTACTGATTTGTACAATCTCACTGCAGGGAAGAAAGTGAGAGCTCTACCAGCAGAGCTCTACCAGCTAAAAAGTTTGATTCATAGGATATCTCCTTCCACTGAGCATCCACAGTTCAACTCAGCCACCATGATAATTTCAGTACTTCCCAACTCTAAATGAATAAACATTAAAACTAAACAGACTTAAACAGAAAGAAAAAGTGAAAAAGGACTTTTGAAACCACATCCAGTGTTATCACAGACCAGAGCCACACTGCAGTAAATACTGTAAAAAGCAGTGAGTCTACAGATCTCTCATGAAGTCAAGCACAGTTAAAAACAAAACAAAACAAAAAACAAAACAAAAAAAACAACCAAACAAAAAAACCCAAACAAAACAAAAAAACAAATATGGAAAAAAACCAACCAAACAAAAAAACCAAACAAAACAAAAAAACAAATATGAGGAGATCTTAATTTATCTTGGAATGTAATTTTGTTTAAATTTTAATCCTCCCATGAGATGCAGTCCTCCTGTTTTGTATTACACAGCCTCCAAAAAAAATTAAAAAGAAATATGAGGGACTTGCTCTGTAAAACACTATACTGTTAATCACTGCTAATGAAATCAATACTATTGACTACACTAAAATTTCTCTGTTGCCAATCCAATAAACTGAAAAAGAAGAAAACAAATATAAAAAATTATTTCTTTCCCAATAATATTCACATGTAATTTTAGTTATGTCCAATGACAAATTTTATTAGATTGTATCTTAACAAAAGCAAACATACAGATACCCCACACCTTCCACTACACTGAGCTTAAAGCAACTTTTCAAACTTGTTTTCAATTTAAAAACAACTGAACTCTTGCTAGCAAAAGCTCATAAGAATTTAGGATTCACTCCAAAAAATCACCTGCAAGGATGGTAATCCTGAATCCAGCAATAGCTCTCTCTGCAAGGCTAAAGAAGCACTATTCTTTCCTCTCACCCCCTGGCCAACTGCTTTGCTGCTACCACAGGCTGTTCCTTCCTGTGCCCTCTGGCACCTCACATAACATGTCTTACTCCTGATAACCTCAGCTTTCAGCCCTGCCATCTCTAGGGCCATGGTGACATGGGACAGCAAAGGAAAAACAACAGTCCATGAGGCAGATCCTGATGAAAGGACAAGCTCTGTGCAGTTGCCCCTTTTCCTTGGAGCAGACAGGGCACAGCTGTTTGAGCAGCAGAATCACAGAATCACAGAACATGCCAAGTTGGAAGGAACCCCCCAGGATCACAGAGTCCAACTCCTAGCCCTGCTCAGGACACCCTGGACATCCAAGAATTACATCTGGAAAGCCAACTGCCTCCTGCTAGGACTCTGGCTAATGCTTCCACAGGGGAAGGAAGGGTAAAATTTAAAGACAACAACTCAACTTGCTCATGATCTAAGTAGAGATCTAAGTGCTGACCCGCTTTCAATACCGCCTAGAGGAAAATGAGGAAAACAGAAACAGGATCTGACCCCCACAACTGCTAGGTCCTGTGTTCCCTTTCCGAGCTCATATGAGCTACTTTGTTTAATGACTAGAGCACGAGGCAACACTCAGGGCTTTCCACATGCAATGCAAAGAGTAAGATGTGCTCACATACTCACCTTGCAGAATATCCCACACCCAGAGGCTTTCGCTTCTGCCTCCGTGGATCTCTCATTTGCTGATTGCCAGAGGGCTGGCCATTCACCCAAGATTTCCGATTCTTTGTTTTCTGAGGGGAACGTCCCTCTCCACTCTTCTCCTCTCCTGTGCTGCCACTCTTTCTTCCTCTAAATGGGATATCCACCAAACCCTGGCATTTACCCCGTGCTTTCTCCCAAGCAGTGACAGAGTTTTCACCTTCAGATGTAGCAGGGAGGCTGGTAAATCCCAGCAAATGGAAGAACAGAGCCACTGAGACCTGGGCATCCCTAGCAGCATAGAGAACCTGCAGAAAAGCACAGAAATTAAGATACTGACAAACAGCAAATACTCCCAACATTATCAGTCTTTAGCACACAGTACAGTAAAACCAGAAGCTGGATTCATTTCCTTTTGAAGTTCACATGAAGTTTTGCTAGTTGAATGGCACTTTGATAACAACACCACATCCCACTAACTTGGTGTAATGCCCCCAGGAACTGCAAGGAACTGAAAATATATTTAGGTCAGACATCCTCATATCCCACCAATCCCTCCCTCACAAAATGTTCCCTTTTGGCCACTGGCTAAGAGTATTCAGCATGGGGTTTTTTGTCCTGTCACTCCCTCTGCTGGTCATGGCTTCTGCAGGCATGTGCAGCATGACTAAAGAAACTGGGCAGGCAGGGAAAACTCAGCACTCTAAAGAAGGTGAACAAAATTTCCAGTGTCTCTCTAATATTGCACTGACTACTACAGACTGAAGAAAATAATAAAAAAGTGAGGTTTTGGAAACACTTCTTCAAGGGATCTTGCCTCATAGATCTTTCAGGACTAAACCAAAACAAGGGTAAAGAATCCAAGGAGAATAGCAGAAAACTATCTTCATGGAAAAGGAAGGAAATGCAGGCAGTGAGTCTGAAATTAACTTTAGGCCCTATCACACATAAGATTTTGAGGTATAATTTGAAAAGGCTCACATCTCCCTATTGTAAAGCCTCTTTTGCAACTAGGAAGGTTACTTTTCCTCCCAAAGCAGTAAGTTGAAGTGGAGAACGCACCTGATCTTGTGTCAGTTCTTCTGCTTCCCAGTTGCTGCAACGCACATGAGGAGATTTCTCAAGTGGGAAGTTCAGGACTTTTTCAGCTAAAGACTTAAGGCTAAGGCAGTTGTGAAGTAGATCCTTCCTTCAATTCAACAAAGTGAAACAAATATATCAAAAATGAAACTATACACTCATGCAAATTCAGATGGCTTCATACAGCCTGAACCTGCGAGAACACAATGCACATGATGCATGACTCAAACAGCACACAGCTGTTTGCCTGTCAGCCTTACAGGCCCTCTCCTCCCCTCTATTAAAATGTCCCTTCTAGATTTAGTAATTATCTCGTGCCTGCAATATGCAAAGCAGGTGAGGCTGGGAGTTAGTAACATTTAAGACTGAAGTGTTTGGCTCTGAACTACTCCCTTCTGAACTAAAGAGGTCCATCATACACTGATGGACTACTTGTCCGAGGGATTCCTGAGAAGCCCAAGAACCAGGAATGACTCAGAAGAATCCTGTCCACTAGAAACAACAAGTCCATCCTCAGTGCTAAGAAGGCACGCAATAGGTCAGCAATAGGTCAGCAAACGCACAGCCCAGATCCCTAACACCACACCCAGGCACGCATATAATTGTACATGAAGAATATTTGCAAGTAAAACATCTTGTTTCAGGAAGAGTGAAAGATAAGGAAATGGCATCACAAGTGTAACATTTCCATAGAAGAATTGTTATTAAAAGAGAAAACTGGAACTGGTTTATTTAGTAATTTTTCAAGAAATCTTGAAATTCAACAGTTCCACTTACATGTCCTGTGCACACTTAACTCACACTTCTTGGCAGTGTATTCAAACATCTGCTGACACAGTGTTCATTCTTACTGCATTACATCACTGTGCCTGGACTTCTTAAAAGCTGAAGCATGGTACACAGAGAAGTCCACAAAGGTATCAGTCTGTGAGAGAAGACTAACGGACACAATTAGCAAACTAAATCCTCATTAAGATTTCATTTCCATTAAGATTACAGAATAGAAGCATGACATGCTCCTGGGCTGCACTATCAATGCCCATTTTCTAAAGCCACCCTAAGAATTCCAGACATACCAGCGTGATATCATTCAGCTTATGCAAATCACCAAAGATATATTTCCAACTCAAATGGTGCCTCAAAAGGACCTACCTCTGTCTCATGGCTAAATACCGGAGATCCATGCTCCCTTTCACTGGAAGACCATAATCATGAAGCAATTTGCAAGCATCTTCCCAGCATCCTACACCAACTTTCAACACAGCACTATCTGCCATGATGTCCACCAGGGTCTTTGGAAGAGTCTGGCCACTGGCAACAAGCCTGGGCAACCGAACAAGAATGCACAGGCCACTGGAAGAAGCCATCTGTAACAGGGATACAGGATTTGCTTTTCCCTCCACAGATACCTGTAATGAAATAAAAAATGAGAATCCAGGTTAATGTATTATTAGTAATACCGGAACTGAAGCAAATTGCAAAAAAGGCCACTGAAAGCAGGAAACACTTATCAGTTTACACAGTCAAGTATTGTTATATATCTCTAAAAATTCACGGCAAATTACATGGTCTTTTTCACAGTATTACTGTGCCCAAGCGACTTCTTGCCCCATTCCCACATGACAATCTTTCCCCCTTTCACCCTTCCCCTTCATAGCTGAGCTGGTGGAAGAAATCAGAAACATTTTTGAATCCACATCAGCATAAAGCCACTCACTATATAAATGTGTGTGGCAAATATATTGTTTAGCTGTGGCTTATACTGTGGGGTGAATAAATTTCCAGTCAAAACACTGGCAAAGCCAGGCTTTATAAATTACTTTAAGCCTGTTTGAGATAGCACACATGCAAATGTACAAGCAGAAGAGGAACTTTGTTTTCTCATCGTCCCAGTGAATTTTATCTATGTATCAGCATTACCCTCCTTTTTGGAGTTAACATTCTTAAGATATTGTTTCTTAAATATGTAGCTGGATTTAAAATAGTGTAAGCCCAAGCTACTTCTAGTAAATCACCTTTAAAGAGATGTTACACAAAACACATAGTGCTACATTTAGCCATACAACTGTTACTATATATAGTAGTCGATTTATCACAGCAACTCAGTAAACAAATACATCTAGTGAATGAAAAAGTTAGCATATTTAAACGTAAGAAGAATCAAAATTAGCATCTGCTTCACAGACAATCACAGTTTCAATAGTCAACAATGGTATCTGTTTAAGCAACAAATTGCTCCACCCTCAATGATTTCCCCAAGCAATTTGCAATGTAAAGGAAGGAGAGGCGCTTCTTGATCACTCACCCACTCACAATCAATTCCAAGAACCGGCCACTTCTCCAGCTCCGTCTTCAGCAATGGTTCAACATGATCCCACTCCTCCTGCTCTGAAACTATCACTATGTCTGCACCAAGGGTCCTCTCTATCCAGAAGAAAGTGGGAGATCTGAAGAAGGAAAGCACCTTCTTATCCTCTGCCTTAACGAGTTTCTCATCTCCTGACTTTACTGCTGCTTCCTCTTGCTGACTACGACAGCGTGTTTTTCCTTTCCGATGCTGGGTCGCTTTCCACAACACCAGGCCCCCCAATGCAACACCCAGCAGGGTCGCCAAAGTAATCGTCACGGCTGTTTGCTTGGCCATTTTTATTGCCCTTTCTCCCCCTTCACCTCATCCTCTCAAAACGGCATTGTGGGATTTCATCATGGCCTGCCGAGAAAAATAAGAGAGGAAGAAATTAAAGACAACTTAATAAAATGTGTTTAGAGATATTAAACACATGCAATGCTATCATAACAAGGTTCTAGCCATAACTGGTAATCCTGGCAGAAAAAAGGTTCCCACTTTGGTAGACTGGGGGCCTGGGGACAGACAGCTGCAGCGATGGATTGGGCAGGAAGAGGAGACTGAATGCTGCTGTTGATCACGCCACTAAAAACCTTAAAGGGAATCCATTCAGTTAAACTGGTGCAACTCGGTGCTTCCACAAACTCTGCTATTCCAAAAATAAACTAGTCACAGTTATTATCAACACCTTTTAGCTCAGTTTGTAACTAGATCAACCTAAACAAGGCCAAAATGAAATTGCTGCAGAATAAGCATGTCTGTTCACGCATTAGTAAACAACAGGCATTTATTTGTCCAGTACATTCACATCCATACTAGGGTCAAATGGCCCTTCAGGCATTGGAAAGCCCTAGAACAGCAGCATCTTATTTTTAACATAGCTGTCCCTCCATCATACAGAAGCTGAGTACCCCTTCAATAAAGTGAAAGCAATCCTGCTCCTCCATCCCAACCCACCGCGTTGTTTCTAAAGGGCTGCCCTTGCGCACACTTCCCACCAAGGAGAAGTGTCGGTGCTGCTCCAGCATGGATGCTGCACAGCCGCTCCCAACACCCCGAGCACAGCCGGGGCACCTGCCTGAGCACCCCCGAAGCAACAGGTCCTTCACTGCCCCCCCGTAAACTGAGCGCGAACGCCGGCTGCAACGAGCCCGCCCGAGCGACGGCCTCTCCCTGCGTGCAACAGCCACTACCGCTCTGGGAGCCGGGGCTGCCTGCGATCCTTGTGTGGATCCCCCGCCGGGGCAGCAGAAGCCCCGGTAAGGCGCCGGCCCGGCTCAGCCCCGGCGGCAGCGGCGCGCCAGGGCCCGGGGGCGGGCCCGGGATCCCAGCCGAGCGCTCCTCCGGGCCGCTGCCAGCCCCGCCGGGATGGGGGCAGGCGGGGGCGGCCGCGGCTCCGCTGGGCAGCAGGGGGAACGCGCTGCCCGCTCTCGGCTCGGTCGCGATTATCTACCCCGGGAAGAGGCCCGAACGCCGGGAGCGAGCGTGCGGGAGGCCGCGGGCGCACCGGCCCGCGCACCGGCCCGCCTGCAGCCGCGGCCTCTCGCCCACCGATCCGCCCGCTGCCTGCGTCCCGCGGAACGGCTGCGTCCGGCTGCAGGAACGCCCCGCGGGGCAGTCGCCACACACACCGGGAGCCTTAGAGTGGCGGACGCTTCCTCTGTGCCGGCGGTGCGAGTGGGCGGTGGGCGCCGCCATGTTGTACGGCAGCTAGTGGCGGGGCGGCTGTGTCGCTGGGCAAGCGCCAAGGTGCCTTCGGCCGGGCAAAATGCTGTCAAGAGTACTGAAGAGCTAGCTCTTTTTAAAGGAGATTTTTGGAGTGAAAAGTGCGGTTTGTTGTCTGCCACTAGGGAGGGCTTGAGGAGCGAGCCGCAGCGGGTGTGAAGTCACCCACACGAGGAGCACCGGGGAACCCCTGGGGCAGGAGGGACCAGGCAGAATGGGAAGCACAGAACAAAGGTAGCCGGGAAAATAAATGGCAAATCGCAGCCACCTACAGAGTGGCAAACTGGAAGAAAACAAAGAGGGAACTCATCAAGTGGAGAGTTTTAAGAAATTAACAGAGGAACATGTCACTTAATCATAACAAGAGATTGTTTCCCCCCTGTGTGGGGGAAATACGAACGTTAGAAGAGTGACACCACAAAACCTGGACACTGAGTATGCAGGCGGCTGCTGTATCCAGAGCATCATCAAGGTTTGAGGCCATCACTGTTAAAAAGCAAACAAGTTTCCAGCCCAAATTCCATTGCAGATGAGAGGATCTGAGCGCCCAATTTCTTCAAATTCCTTTGCAATTCCCAGTATCTCCGAGATTGCATCTGTATTTTGAATGTACAAATGCTTTATACCTTATCATTACAGCTTCTGTATCATATGTGTTTCTGCAAAGCCTCTCAGTCTTGCTGTACAGCGAGATTTTTATCCATTTTTGTATTAATTCACTGAGTCACGAAGCATTGCAATGTCACTGCAGTAACTCACACTTTGTCTCTGCTTCGTTCTCCTCTAGAGGGAAGGTCTGCATCTCCCTTTCAGTCACAGCCTGGCCCCAGCTTCTCCATCCATCCCCTGTGCTCCGATGCACCAACACAGCTGCCCAGCTGAATGCAGGTCACCAAGCAGGAGCTAGCACTGCTCTGAAGTTTCTCACATGACTTGTGCTCAGAGGAAAGGTGCATCATGGGCATGCTCAGGAGAGAAACCTGGAGGGTTTCTGAGTTCCCACAGTCAGATGGACATGTTCTGCCCGTTTCTCTCTCTTCCCTTCACACATATCCCTCAAGTAAGAGTGCTTTGTTTTCTATGGTCATTGGAATCTAGAATAAACCTGTGTTGCCACTTGGATGGATAGTCCCACGTTTCCTGTTGTAGCTGTGACTGGCTGCTCCCTGCTCCCTTGCTCCAGCACCCACATACCTGTAATTACAGGGTCAGAAAATCATGGAACTGATCATGTACACTAGTTCAAGGACAAAAGGTAACACCTGGGGACACAACAGACATTTCAAGGCCCAAGTGGTTGGAAAAAGAACCAAGAAGATGATGCAGCTGGGCTCCAACACATATCCCTCAAGTAAGAGTGCTTTGTTTTCTATGGTCATTGGAATCTAGAATAAACCTGTGTTGCCACTTGGATGGATAGTCCCACGTTTCCTGTTGTAGCTGTGACTGGCTGCTCACTCCCTGCTCCCTTGCTCCAGCACCCACATACCTGTAATTACAGGGTCAGAAAATCATGGAACTGATCATGTAAACTAGTTCAAGGACAAAAGGTAACACCTGGGGACACAACAGATATTTCAAGGCCCAAGTGATTGGAAAAAGAACCAAGAGGATGATGCAGCTGGGCTCCAGGATCCAGCTGCCCTACTGTGGGGTAGGCAAGAGAACTTAAGAGAACTCTGTTAGGCAACATCCTTAAGAGAACTCTGTCAGAGCTCAAGATAAGCACAAAATACTGAACAAACCTGCAAATAAATGGTTTATTTTAGTTTCTAAATCAATAGAAGTGTGAAGATACAATAAAGAAAAATGCAATAAAATACCCCAATATTTATCACACAGTGAAAATGTCACAGAGAAGATGCTAGCTTTTCTCCAAGTAAGAGGATTGTATCCCTGCTTGCATTTAAAACCTTTATTTTTCATGGCATCACTGAAATTACAGAGTCTTGTAAGCCACAAGTCTCTAACAGCTTGTCTTATACCTACATAGCCATTTATTCAGGTATAAGGATTAAATTAAAAATAAATGAAAGCAACTCACTCATTAATGCACTCTGGCAAAAAAAAAAACAAAACAAAACAAAACCCAACAAACAAACAAAAAGCCTCAAAAAACAAAACAAAACAAAACAAAAAAGCCAAACCAAAACCAAACAAACCTCAAGTTCCCAAAACCTGATAGGGACATTGCTGAAGGTAAGATAACCAAGTGAATAAGCAGCAACTGCTGGCTTAGTCTTACTTATAAGAAATCTGTTACAGCAGGTAACTGGAAGCCTTTACATGGTAAACTTTTCTGTGTCTGTAGCCTGACATGAGATCTCTGCAGAGGTCTCTGTCAAAAGACTAATTTTTAGCCTGATTTCCTAAGAAAAGAAGGCTTATGAAATGACTCGATGTTATTGTTTCTGCCTCTAGGTCCCATTACTTCCCCTGCTTTCTTTGCCAAAAAAAGCATGTTTAAACCATTGCTAAATTCCACCTAAATTTGTACAAAGGTAACAAGTGAAATGCAAAGCCAAATGGATGAAACAGGTCCTGATAAAGCTGTCACTGATAAAATGGTAAGCATGTGCTGATGCTGCTTAGTATACATATGAGAACCCACACAGCAGTACCACATCAGGAGAAATCCATAGGAAACCAGGCTTCACTTGTTCTGCTGATCACAGAAAAAATAATTATTTTTATAATGACATTAGCTCATCCTTTAGGAGGGAGAAGACTATGGTAAATGAGTCAGTGTTCAAAGGAAAATCAATGATTGTGGAATATCAAAGGAGAGAGGCTCCAGTGAAGACTTAAATTGCTGGTAGCAGACAATGAGCAGAGAGCTGCATGTAGTCCCCACTAGCTCATTAATAACACTCTCTTTGGGGCTCCATCCCAAGCTATAGAAAAAAGCCAAACTCACATTTCAATTCCTAATGTGATTTATCTTCCTTCTGTCGATGCTGGTAACACCATGACTGCATATGCAAACAAGCCATTTTGAGCAGGGTTTGTTTTAACAGGGTTCATACCAGGAAGGCAGGAGGGTTTCTTTCCTCAAGAAGTCAGAATGAGAGCAGTTTCAATCAACTGTGAGGCCCCATCCTAAAGATGGAGTCTCACACTCCAACCAGGTGGATGGAAGGTTTAGCTTTTGTTGAAAAGGCAATTCTGCTTCCTTCTTCTCCCTGTCTGCATTCTTCTTCAGCCTCAATTCTGCAAATACTGGTGCCTGCTTGATTCAAGGAATTAAGTGAGCAGAAAGCTAGCACAGCAAAAACTGGGTTTTCTTCTGGTTTAACTCCTGGTACTAACTCATCATACAGCCAGATCTCAGTGAAACTACATCTTAAGCCAAAAGATGAGTCATGGTAGCTCACTGAAGGGATCTGACAGAGTTTGCAGGTTTTGCAAAGAATCTGAAAAAAACTCAGAAGTGTAAAATGCCAGATAATCCCATGAGGATGAGTTGTATTAACATCAATCATCATCAATGTATTTCTTCCTTAATTGCCAACTCTTTTCATTGCTTATATAGAGAGATGAATTTCACAATTCCGTTTCTTGAAGAGCTGCTTAGCTTACCCCAGTAGTTCAGTCCAGAAGGCATTCTGAGTCAGCCTCACCGTTTATGGCTGCTAAGAATATGACATCCCCCATCTCCAAAGTCATCTCCCAGCTGGGCACTCCAGACTAGCTTGTGCTGATTTTGGCATTCCTTGGGACATTTCCATGAGCCAAATAAACACATGGCAGACAAGCAGGTCCAGTAAGTAGCAGCATCAGCACAAAGAAAGGGACAGAACACAGAGCCACAAAAAAATAAAGCCACCTTTCAGTGGCCACAAATCATTAGATTGGCTTACCTGTATGTTAAACCTACATAGCAGAACAGTAAGCCTATGGGGAGACATTTGTGGAAAAAATCCTTGGTTTTCCTACCTTTCTGGTCCATTGAAGTAAGCAAAAGGAGAAAAGCCCAGCAGCCACTAAATTTTCACTAGAGGGAATAAATTACACAAGCAAAATTATTTTTTTAAAAATTATATGGCTAAAATATTGTGTAGTCTTCTTGGTTTACTCTTTCTTTCTATTGCCCCTCAAAAATAAAAAAATATTGGTATAAATAAATGAATAAAAAGCCTTGATTTAACTCCACTTTCCTAATTATGCATTCAGTCTCTCTGACTCACTCCACAGACATCCAGCTATCAGTGTCCAAACTTCTCAGTTTCCACTCTGGATTAACCAAAAGTTCAACAGTATCCCAAAAAGAGTATTTAAATGTCATCCTTTCTTGCCTGACACAATCAATCATGCTTCACTTAAATACTTTTTACCTATTTAAGACTTCCTAGTGTTTGACAGACTCTCAGAGAACTGTATTCTTGGTCTTCTGTTACCCTCCTACATTATCTCTGAATTAGCACTTGGGAAAGGAGCAGATCCATAAATCATCTGTAGAGAGATATTAATTTATTTGTATTTCAGATGAGATACTTCCCCCTGTCCAAACTCAAAACACAGTCTTCTCTCTTCTGTGAATGACTAGCAGGAAATTAGAGCTCAGCAGAGCTAGAACTCTTCCCTGAAAGCCCTCTTATTATCTTCTTTGTGAGTATCCTTGGATAGCATCACCAGTTTATCTGCTACTCAAACTTGTTTGTCAGCTATCAGGTCTGACTGAAATGTCTTTGTAGATCCTAGCACCCAGGGTATATACTTCCATGTGGCAGCTCCAAAACAGCCCTCCAAAACATCCTTGCAGCTAAGACCCTTGTTCTCTTGCTGATATACAGACTGCCCTAATACCTCTTCCTTCAGTATTAACCAACACAGCTCCTAACACAACAGCCATTGACCAATGGAAACGCCACAGTCTGACAACAGAGCAAAGCTGACTGTAGCCCTCCTATTAATGATCAAATTAATGACCACAGCCATCAAATGGAAACAATTAATGCAATTTAACTGATTCTCCCAATTCAAATTTGTTCAGAAAAATGTTGAAGGGATAACTTTGTTATAGACAGTAAACCCCAATCAGTTATTGTCAGTCCTTCCAGAGGCAGAACAAGAAATCTGTAGCATGGACAGAAGCTAATATGAGAGTAATGTGACACCATGGCCACATCTCATCCAGATCAATTTAGTACTGCTGCGAGACTGAGCTCTGCACAACCTTGGAATTAAGAACTCTGAAACTGCAACCCAAGATTGTTTACATAGATCATTACTCTAACTACATCACTTCTCTATTTTAAGGATTCTCCTAGTTCCCTCTTCTGTACTGCATCAAACATTATTTACTTACCTTCATTCCCAAGGACATCTACAGCAAGTCACCACCGTGTTCATTATCTCCCATTTCCTTTCCACTTGACTCCTCCACTCTGTTGCCTACTTGTTGAAATTCCAG